CCATTTCAGGCCTCCTGGCTCTAATTCTCATTCCACAAACACTTACAAGGCCATGAGTTCTACCCTCAGAAAGTTTACAGTCAAGCAGAGAAATGATCCATACAAATAGATGGGCAAGTCTTACAGGTAGATACTTGGTGCAGGAGTTGTGCATAAGCCACATGAGGAGATCTGCTTAGGGGTGTCAAAGAAGGTTTTTTAAGGCTATGCCCCCTAAATTGCTGCTTCTGAGATAAACAGGTGTTTTCCAGACATGGAGGAGAGAAAGTTTCTTCTCTCGTACTCTCTCTAAAGGAAGAAGTGTGAGTAAATGTGAAAAGTAATGAAAGAAGTCTAGCAGAAGCCTTGATGGTTTCTGGCCAGTACTATAAGGCATTCTAAGGAGAACTCACTTTATTTTGCAAACACAGTGCAGGGAGGCATTCAGGAGTTCTAAAATCCGGGGAGTGATATGAGGGGGATTATTTTTGTAGCTTCCAGGTATGAAGTCTGATTTCAGCAGTCTATCTGAGTCTCTTCCGCTCATAGGTAACTTTTTCTGTCTGGAATTGTGTAAGATTTCTTCTTTATCCTTGGAGTAAAGGATTTTTCCCCCTACTGTTTCCTCATCAAAACTGCGGATTTAAGTCTTTTTTCAGTTCAAGGTAGCTTTTTTTCTTTTTTGGTAATTTTTTTAGGGGGGTGGGTACGGGATGTCACTCTGTTGACCAGGGTGGAGTGCAGTGGTGTGATCTTGGCTCGCTACAACCTCCACCTCCTGGGTTCCAGTGATTCTCCTGCTTCAACCTCCTGAGTAGCTGGGATTACAAGCGTGTGCCGCCACACCTGGCTCATTTTTGTATTTTTAGTAGAGACGAGTTTCACCATGTTGGCCAGGCTGGTCTCCAACTCCTGACCTTAGGTTTTCTGCCCACTTTGGCCTCCCAAAGTGCTGGGATTACAGGCATGAGACACCGCATCCTGCCAGTTCAGGGTAATTTTCTTCTATTATTAATCTAATTTCTTCACATCTATTTTTCCTTTACCTCCTTTTAGAATTCCTATCACATCTCATGTTAGGGTCTTCCAAATCCATCTTTTAATTCTTTATCTTTCCTTGAGGATTTCTTTTTCCTTTTTGTCCTCCTTCTGTGTGGATATTTCTTATACATCACTGTTTGTATCTATACAGTGGCTATCATCTTACTCAATTTCTACCTCTAATATTACCTTCAGGAAGCCATTCTTCTTGGTTTGAGAAAGTCCTGTGTAGGCATGTGCTTCTCTGGTTTTTCTGTTTTGTTTTTAGCTTTAAAGTGTGTATTCCTGCAGCACCTTTATTTTTCATAAGTATTGGCACTCTTTGGGTTTTTCTCTGGTTGCTGGGACTCCAGGACATGTGTTTGTTATTGCTGTTTTGACAGATCAGATAAGGATGTTGCCTATCAACTGGATGAAATTCCAAGTCAAAGCACATTCTGCCTCTGTAGAGCAGCAGCTGGGCTTCCAGCAATGTCTGTTTTGTTCAGGGAAGTGGGGACCTTTGCTTCCTATACTCTGTCTCATTTAGGAATAGATGGCATCAGCTCCTTTAATTAAGCTTTTTCTTGACTACTGAGGTTCAGCGAGAGAGGGGAGGCTGAGGTCTCTGGAGATTTGTAGGTCTCTGAGGGGCACACTTCCCAGAATGGGTCCTTTCTGGTCCTTTCCCCTGGATGCTCTGCTCCTGTTCTTCACATTGCATTCATATGTGGCCTGGCCTCTGGGGATGATGTCACTGAATTTGTTTGGCCAGCAGTAAATCCCACAGAGCCCAAGACCTCACCTGGAACCAGAAATTTATCAACACCAAAAGCTGGTTAGATCAGGAGGGGTTGAAAGACTGGAGGTGAGAGTGTAGGGAAGGAAGGAAAGAAGGAAGGAAGGAAGGGGAGAGAGCAGGCTGCCGTCTTCCCAGATGCCCCAGTGTTTCTCAAGGTTGGTTTGATCCTTGTCTAAATCAGAAGCGCTGTGGGGACTTGTTAACCAGGAAGGCCCATTTGGAGTGTGCATTTGTTCAGCCAAGCTCCTTGGGTCACTCTGGTGCACATTAAATTTTAAGAGATGATTATTAGAGAGAGTGATTCCGTTTATGAACTTCCTTGAGAATCAGGTAGTAATTTTCCATTTCTAGAGTCTAGTAAGGACAGATGTCAAGTGTTTCTAACATAGGGATGTGCTTTAAAATATAGCCAGGAGTTTGAAGGCAACAGAAGAGGGATAGTTTAGGAAAAAGCATTTGAATTTTGTGGTGACAAAGATACTTTAAAAAGAAGCTTGTATTTCCTACTTTGTTAGAAACCTGAAGGCTATTTATACAGAGGTCACACTGCCTACTTATGAGACATAACTTTGTTGTAAATTTCAGCATGTTCCACCATTGTGTGTTTCTGGCCATAGCTGTAGGAAATTATATTAGGACAGTTGTAAACCATACGAATATTTAAAAATCTTTATTAAATTTTTTGCAGTGGGGGAGATAGACTAAATATTTATTTCTGGATTTGGATGCCACAGAGGTGTTTGCATTTTAAGTTTCTCTGGAAACAAAGTCCTCCTCAGCAGAAATATAGTACTAATTTGATGTAATGCATTGCAATATCTTTTCAATTAAATTTCGTTTTTGTTTGAATGGTAAGAGTTCAGAAAGGGTCAGATTTAGGGAAGTAAAATAATTGGATAGAGATTAAGGATGAGGTCAATGAATTCAATGCATTTTTAACATATCACAACTTGTTCAACACACCTTTATGAGACCCTACTGAGTTCTAACACCTATCCTAAGCCTTGTGCCTTTTCCTCAAGGATTGCTTCATTCCAGTAATGAGAACAAGGGTAAGCCTCCAGTTCAACTCCAGTGAAGATGTGTACTAAGGCCACCAGGCAGGACAAATGGAGCAGAAGAGGCAGGGAGGACTTGTCGTGGAATCGGTGTTCCAACCAAAGTTTCCAGGTCAGGCTGGAGATGGCTTCCAATCAAGTGTCCAGGATGTTGGAGATACTGACTCAGAGGGATCAGCACCCTCAAAAGCAGATCTGCCCAATCAAACAGTGGTTCTCCTGGGCTGGGCTGCCCTGGCTAGGCTGGGCTGGGTGCTGTGTTCAGGAAGAAATGTTGAGTAACAGGCCCTAGGATTGTGGACGGATTCAAATACTATTTCAAGACGCATAGGTAACAAGAAGCCATTGATAAGTTTTGAGCAAAGAAAATATCAGATTGGTATGTTAGAGAGCTCACTGAAGGAATTAAAGAAATTGGGAGTCTGTAATGTTCCATTCTAGGTGTAGGGTCACACTGAACAGTAGCCTAATGAGAAGTTGCTCCTCATTCTGAGCTTACGTTTGCTCTTCAGGATGTGGTTGGAAACTCCTACATTTCCACCTCAGACCTTTCTACATTTTAATGCTAATAGCAATTCAGAAAGATATTTTGGGCTCATTTATTTATTGTCTGTGAACAAAAAATTAATTAGAGAAATCAGTGGTTGCAGATTACTCTGTGGTTGCTTACATTTCTTTTTTCTTTTTTGGAATTTTCAGTTATAAAACTTTTTATTGCTCACAATAATTGTACATATTTATGGGGTACATGTGATATTTTGATACATGCATATGATGTATAATAACCAAAGCATGGTATTAACCAAAGCAGGGTATTAACCTAACCAAAGCAGGGTATTTAGGACATCTATCACCTCAAATATTTATAATTTTTTACTTTGGGAACGTTTCAAATCTTCCAGCTGTTTTGAAAATAGGATAAATTGTTGTTAACTACAGTCACCCTACTGTGCTACTGAACACTAGTACCTATTTTTTTATAACTGTATGTTTGTACCTATTAACCAATCTCTTTTGCTCCCCTATTCTTCCCAGCCTCTGGTGCTTGCATTTCTTCAATGTAGCTAGTATTTTAAGTTCTTTAAAAGGAATCACTTATGTATATTTGTTAATTTATAAAGAATTCTTTCCAAAAAGAATTGAGGTCACCAGGTATACCTATATAATCTATAATGCTGCTTATACATCATTTTTTAAATTTTTGAGACAAGTGTTTGCAAAGATTCTTACTCAAAAAGTATTTTATAAATAACACAATGTAAATTCTGAAAAGTAATGAATCTGTACTCTTTTCTAAATACCAATTTAGAATTTTAATTAATTAAATGAGCTCATTCTCTTTCAGTCCAATTTAGAAAATCTTAAAATGTCTTTTTCTCTACATTTTCTCAAGATTGTCTTATTATTGAGGTGTGAAATTTAATACAGGGTTTGTTTCTACAGCTCCCCACAGTGACATGAATAGTCTTATTGCTGATGGTGTCTTCAGTAAGGAAATTCAGTATTGGTGGTTTTGGCTTTCAGTAATGCTGCTTGAACTACGAATAGACTTCTGAGATGTGTGCCAGTGAAATTTAATGTGTACTTAAAGCACACATAGGATTCTGTGTTGAGGACCTCTTGTTAAGAAAATGTAGCTCAATATAGCTCACATATAGAAACCAAACGCTATTTCTTACTTTAGAAATTGTTTTATTTCAGGAGTATGTAACAGAACAAATATTCAGACCCAACTGGAGCTCCAACTTTAAGAGCATAGTTTTGCAGATTTTAATATATTAACACAATATGATATGATGTAGCCTTTAAAATGTGTTTTTAAAAACCATGCAAATATGTGAAAAATGGTTGTGTTATAACATTAAGTGAAAATGTTAAGGAAAATAATGTACTGTGAATGCAAGTCTATAAATATGCATATCTCATGGCAAAACTATACTTTTAATAAATTTTCCAATTTTATTGCTTGTTTGGCATTACCATAAAAACAGTGGAAAATTAGCTTTGTCTCACTTACTGGGAATCATTAGATGGATCAGCCTGACTAGGGCACAATGTGAGGTCAGCAGCTGGTTCTCCATTCTCTATTGGGAGCCACTAATAATCCCACGTTGTTTCCTTTGTCTCACAATGAACAGCAGCAGTGGAGGCGACGACTTGGACCTCACCCGTGTTCTTCTGCGAAAGTTTAGAGATCAAGATCTGCCCTGTGCAGATGTAAACCCAGACCAGTAAGTATCAGGTGCTCTCTGCAAAAGTGAACACTCCCAACTGGTAACACTGTAGCCTGGGAGGATCGTTTTTCTCCATGATTGGTTATTTCATGCCACAAGTTTACACTATAAAAAATAAAAATTAGCCTAATGAGTAGGTTATTACTGAACGGGCCTTATGGGTATCACCACATAAAATGATCCAAAATAAGCTACATAATTACCCCTTTTCTCCCTTGTACATGCGTGCTTTATATTATTGCAAAATAAATTATTAATTAATAGCATTCAATTTGTTTAATAAAACCCAAAGCTGAAAAGAATGAAGTAACAATTAAGTCTGAATTATGTATTAGCTGTTATTTACTTTTAGAGAATACTTGTACATATAAAAAATTAATTATAGTTTTTTTTAACTTAAAAGATTTAAAGGTCAGTACTGTACATCAATCTGGGGTGAATTACTTTGAAAATTATCTTTTTAGTATTTAATCATGATTATTGTGATGACCTTTCTATGAAACCTGGATAGGGGAGGCCTTTCTGTATAAACACTTATTTCCCTCTTACTTTGCTCAATTATTATATATTGAAGATCTACTACAAGTAAAGTGCTGCTGTAGGAACTAAGATTAATACGGAATATGGCCCTGGTCTCAAGGAATTTACAGTTCTGGGTAGAGCAAATGAGGCAAGTGATAAAAGCCATAATGATTTATTAAGTGCCAGAAGTGTATGTTTTTAAGTAGTAAATATAAAAATCTAACAATAATACAACACTGGCAATATGTTTTCTAATTTGTGATGACATGTTTTGCCCATTAGTCATATTGGTAATTAGTGTAAGACTGAAAAACTATTAATGTTCTCGGTAAGAGAGAATTAATAGATAATTATGTTGCTTCACTCTAGTCTTTGCAAAACAAAGTAATTTATTTAACTAAGGCTTCAGTGGTAATGTTTTTATTTTTATCCTCTCTGATGGAATACACAGGGTGTAAAATGCATCTACCTTTGAAAAGTTGAAATGTAACGTAGGGCCCCGCTGGGTCCAGCCCTGGCCCAACCTGGGATCAAAGAAGAACCAGTCAGAAAAAGAAAAACATTCTTTTATCTAGTCCTTCTCCTTCAAGGGGAAAAAAACAAAAGGTGGAATCAATAATTAAAGGACAGCAGAACATATTGGACATTTTGTTTGGACACATATTTTACTTCCAGTTCCTTTTACATGGATTGCAATACAGTCCCAAACTCTCCTCCTCTCCTCTCTCTGTTCCACGAGCTCCTGCCCTCCAGCCCAGCCTGCAGATCAGCCTCATTACTTTTCTCCTCTGTCCGTTCTTCTTCTGCCTTCCTGGATTTATGTTTTTGTGTTTTCCCTTTTCTTTGTGAAATCTACCTAATCTATCCTTAACTCATTTCTATGTTTAATCATTTCTATCTATTTTTATGGTCAGCATAACAAAAGGCTAGGGGAGCGAGGTACATGAAAAGATGCTGTGAGCACTTATATTAATAATAATTTATGTCCATGTTATACAAATAGGGCTTGATTCACTAGGACCCCAAATCAAAGCAAAAAGTTTTACTTAAAACCTGTAGATTTCCTTCTGTAAGTGTAAAATATTGTTGAATTTGATATCTACATTTTACCTCCTTGGAAGACTTGGGCAATCACTTGACAGTTAACTAGAGGAAACATTTAAAAATAAGAGATTAGATTCTACTGATAGGTTGTTTTTCTGATGAGATACTCAACTCTGAGTGTCGACTCAAGGGTGCTATGTTGAACTTCTGATTTGTTCCTCCCTCTCATATGAAGACAATGAAGAGCTCTACAAAAATCCACTGTCGTGTAAATCTGATCTAAAATATGAGTTTTCTCACAGTAGTAGGTGATGCATAATTTAAAATTTAAAATGTGTTAAAGTTGTCAACTTTTAGAAGCTGATGGGTAGATACACATATTTAGCTTCATTTTACAAGGCTTACATCTGGTGGCACTTCAGTGTCGAATTCTCCTACTATTTCTAACACAAAATGGTCACTTTCCTCACCCATTCTTGTTAATGCTTTAATATGGAACAAAAGTGATAGCAAATCTTATATTTCTATCAGACGTAAAAGGCCAAGTGGGGAGATGGGTAAGGTTTATTTTTGTAATTAAAAAGAAAGTTATTAGATTGCAGCGATATAATAGATCATCTCGGTACTCAGGAAAATCTAGAGGGCTCATTATTAGCCAAAAGGTGGGATCTTCAGAATCTGGCATGGCTGGTGACAGACTCCCTCTGAGGGGCCTGTAAAGATGAAAGTTGAGGCCACGGATCAGCAGTGTGTGCATACCAGGGATCATGATAGAGGGGTAATATGGGACCAGTCTGCCTCAATCCAAATCTCAGCTCCACTCTTATTGGCTGTGTGACCCATGCAACTTGCTGAACCTCTCTCTGCCTTCCTTCATTTGCATCAGTGTGCTCTCAGTTCTGTAGAAAAAACAGTCACCTCAATAACAGGGTAGCCCTTGTGGGGAGCTTTTGTTCTTTTAAGGTAAGTTCCTGCCTCAGAAAGCAACTCTCAAGACAGTAGGTCCTTAGAGCTTCTGCCTCTCTCTTCAAGATTTAAAATGCACCTTAGCACTTTAGGGAGGCCGAGGTGAGCAGATCACGAGGTCAGGAGTTTGAGACCAGCCTGGCCAACATGGTGAAACCCCGTCTCTACTAAAGATACAAAAAATTACCTGGGTATGGTGGTGCACACCCATAATCCCAGCTACCCGGGAAGCTGAGGCAGGAGAACCTCTTGAGCCCAGGAGGCGGAGGTTGCAGTGAGCCAAGACTGTGCCGTTGCATTCCAGCCTGGGTGACAGGGTGAGACTCCATCTAAAAAAAAAGAAAAAAAAAATGCATCTTAGGTGATTGAAAACTCCAGGCATCCCTGTAGTAGAGAGCTATTTCACGCAGTGTGTCCAAACCTGAAGGACCAAATGACTGGGCTCCAGCAGCCTCTCTGCAGCTGTGTCCTGTAGGCCACTTTAGGGAAATGCTTTGCTAAGTCAAAGTTTATTTTTAGATTCCTAAACTTTAACAGAAAGATTATGTAGAAACATCTGATTTCTCATAGATCATCCCCTCTGTCTCTCCCTTTTATGGACATTCACACAGCTTCTTAGTGAGTCTGTTGGAACACGAAAGTTGTTGGAAGCTGAGAAGTGCTCAAAAAACTACCTGCTATGGGCCATTATGTACCTGTCATGGACACGTAGTTTTACTCTATAAAAGGGAGCTAGGAGAAGAATAAGGGAGGATTTGGAAGAGAAAAAGAGGACTGAAATTTTGAAGTCATGTATTAATTTATAAACACTTGTTAAGCATCATCTAAGGCATCTGAAAAAGAAAGGCCTGCTGAGTTTCAGAAGCATAAATGGAATTATTTTTTTATAGTACATATCAGATACAGTACTTTGATTAAATACATAACTCCCTTAGGTATTATTTCCATGTAAACTCTTAGGTTTCAAACTGGAGTCCCTATAAGCTAGTCAGCCAAGAAAGGAGTGTGGAGAAATCTTTATATTATTTTTGTTGTTTCAAAAATTACATATACGTTGTACTTTGCTAACCTGGTTAATAGAAATGACAAATTTCTTTTCACTGGGCAGGGCTTTCTTTAATTGGTGGTATCATACTGGCTTTCTCATTGGAGCAGCACACATTTTGCATAGAGCTGGGATCTCGACAGCTGCTTCACCTCTCTGGACCCCACCTCTTCTTCTGAAAAGCAGGGCTAGTAAGGATGGTGGTAGAAATATCTTTTCCAATTTTTGAGTAATTAAGAGTAATTATCAGGAGATCGAGACCATCCTGGCTAACCCGGTGAAACCCCGTCTCTACTAAAAAATACAGAAAAAACTAGCCGGGCGAGGTGGTGGGCGCCTGTAGTCCCAGCTACTCGGGAGGCTGAGGCAGGAGAATGGTGCAAACCCGGGAGGCGGAGCTTGCAGTGAGCTGAGATCGGCCACTGCACTCCAGCCTGGGTGACAGAGCCAGACTCTGTCTCAAACAAACAAACAAACAAATTTTGATTTACAAATGCTAGAACAAATATTTTAAAGTATAGGACTCATAAGGAAATAGAAACAATAGGGAAACTGACATCCAAATGTGTTTTTGAACCACTGCTACAAAAGATTTTCATAACTGTTTCTGTTGCACCATATTTCTGCAACAGAAAGTTTAATCAGAAAGGTTTAAAGTGGAAATTTAAAAATTGTTTTTCCTTAAGTGATGATTAAATTACTGTGTTATGCCACAAAAAGGAATTAGCGTCTTGCTGTTTATTAATTGCTACTTGGTACCTGATTATGAGACTGGAAGCCTAGCCTCAGGTTCCACCAGGAGCCCCAGCCCCGCGGTGAAAGTCCTAGGGAGCCCTGTGATACACTCAGTACAGTGAGAAAAGTGAGCCCCATGTAATATAATGGAAATTCTGGCGTTGTAATAAAACATTGTCATCAGATTAACAGCTCAAGCTGTGAAAACAAATGTAAGAGCTCTGCCTTCTTGGCAGTAAGAGATGATTATCTTGTGAACTCTGTTCTAGTCTGACGGAACTCTCCTTTACAGAAATACAATGGCCTTGTAAATCTAAAAGATCATTCTAATTCTCTCCTTTGTTTTTTAGGATGAATTCTTCATGCTGGCACACACATCCCTTTTCTCACCCAGAATTCCAGGATTCATGTGGCTGCCTGGTAGGTCTCTGCAGCATTTTTGATCCTTTTAAGTCTAAAATTCAAGTTAAAAAAAGTGAGTTTACTCCATCTATAAAAATGTTCATATTTGTACCTACGTCTCTATGACTTTTTGGTTTCCTGGATTAGCTGTTTCTGGGGAAAGTTTCATCACATAAAGTGAATATTTATAGAACACAGATGCTGTAGAGATTGACAGTGGCCCCTCTCTTTCATTGCCTGCTGCCTTTGGTCATTAACATTCCCCTGGCATTCATTAAGAAAATGAATATTCTTCAAGTAATAATAAAGAAGCTAAAATTGCCCTATGGAAGGAAATTTTTCTAAATTTCAAGGCAGCATGACCTTAAGGCTCTTGCCGTATTTTTATTTGGGCTAGATATTAACAGCTAAGATGCCCCTTAGCTCTCTGACTATGGTTGATTCATACAAAAACATGTGGAAGTAGGTGTGCCACTATTAAGGTGAGAGACATCACTGTTTAATCTGTGAAGGAGAATAAATTGAAATTTATTTGGAAAACAGATTGGAATTCATCTCAAAGAAAATCTCAGACTCTAATTAACAAAAGGCATAGACCTGCTAGCCACAATCAATAAGCAAGTATGATGGCAGGTCTAATTTATAGGAAAAAGGGAAAAGAAAAAATACATTAAAGTTAATTGAGCATCTATAATGGAAATGGCCACTTGGAGAACATGTTTACAGGGCTTTCCTATTTAGTGGCTCATGAGATGCAGTTCTCCTTAATAGTTGTCAACCTAAGGGAAGAAACTGATACAAATTAATATAGGTAGAGAGTTTATTTGAGCCAAAGTTGAGGACAGCTATGTGGGACACACTTCCAAGTTATCTTTGGAAGTGCTCCCAAGAACAAAAAGGAAGCTCAAGTGAAATGGCCTTACTGTCTAGGGTGTCAACTGAAGTTCTTTGTCTCATGGCCAAGGAAATCAAAGATGTGGACACACCAAGAGTGAGCTTAGAGCAGAAATGTAGTAAGTGAAAGGAAGAGAAAAAACGCTCTGCTTCAGAGAGGGATCTCAAAAAAAGGTTGTCATTTTACAGTGAAGTGCAAGGGTTTTAATAAAAAAGCGATTGGGGAAGGGTGTTCCATTTATATAGGGCTCAAAAAACTGGTTAGAACTAGGTGTTTCATTTCCATAAGACGCGAATCCCCGGCAGTCCCCACCCTATCTGTTTAGTGCACATGCAGATCCTTAACCTAAGTTACTCCATATTGCTTATCTCCTCCTACTGTGCATGAATCAGGGGCAGAACCCTTTTCATTAATCCATTTTCATGTTGCTGATAAAGGCATACCCAAGACTGGGCAATTAACAAAAGAAAGAGGTTTACTGAACTTACAGCTCTACATGGCTAACGAGGCCTCACAGTCATGGTGGAAGGCGAAAGGCACTTCTTACATGGTAGCAACAAGAGAGAGAATGAGAACTGAGGGAAATGGGTTTACCCTTATCAAACCATCAGATCTCATGGGACTTATTCCCTACCATGGGAACAGTAAGGGGGAAACCACCCCCATGTTCAGTTATCTCCCATTGGCGTCCCTCCCACAACATGTGGGAATACAAATCAAGATGAGATTTGGGTGGGGACACAGAGCCAAACAATATTACCCTTCAAGGTGGATGTGCCTGGCCGAGGGTAGCTCTTCTTTTCTATAGTGTTGCAGCCATGTTCCAAGCAAGCCCCCGTGCAAGCTTCCTTACGTATTTCCAAAAAGGAAAGGAATGTGCTCACTGGGGCCCACTGTATATCAGTGAAACTTGCTGACTACACGGGAGGCCCCTTTCTGTGCGGGAATTCATCTCCGTATCTATGTTTGCAGCCCGAGCTTTCAGGCTGCTCTTTGTTAGAAAATAAATGCCACTGAGGATCTTGTCCTAACTATCTGCCTAGCCAGTTTCTCCCTTCCTTCTCTCTCATAATTTATTAAAGAAAAAAGAATGAATCAGGAGAGTGGGTGATTACAAAAGTTGTTTGTCAGGGATTCTCATTGGCATTGTTAAGTTACTTTATAGCTCTGGTGGTGGCACTCAGCCTGGGGTCCATATAGTGAGCTGCTTAGAAATGATTGCTTAGCTCAAGGGGGATGGGGTGGAGTGTGACTGCTGTCTCACTCCAGTGCCTCTCTGGGCCTGATTATTTAAAGGGAGCTCCCATTCCTCAGATAAAAAGCCTTTTTGTTTGTCTTTTTTCTGGAGATTTTAGAAAGCTTGCTTTTGGAGTAACTAGTCTGCTTTCTTCTCTTAGACTAAAGATACACATGTAAGCGGGAATAATGACACAGCACCTTTAGTGAACACTCAAGAATGTTGGTTGATGTGGAAGAGCTAATGGAACTCTCCATATTTCCCTCTTGGCTTCAGCTGTCAATAAACTCAGCTACATTTGACATTTGGTGATCCTTTGCAGTGATCAGTTATCTTTTTTTTTTTTTTAGACATGATTATTGTGTTTTTTCCCTGGACTTGTTTTTCCATTTATTCACTTTAGGGGCAAAGGGAAAATTTGCCTTTCACCCTCAGAAGCTTCACTGAAAATCAATTGACAAAAGGCAGGTTAACTGGGAAATACCATACAAACGTGTTAATGTTCATGGGAGGATCACATCATAGAGTAATTACCTCAAACCCCAAAAGAGGTATAGAAATTTCTATACCCTTTTCATAGGGGAAGGAGAAGATGGGAAGTGTGGATAATTCTTTTGAGGGGCAGGAAATGGTTGTTATAGAGAAAGAATGGGCCAGGGAGACAGAAGTTAACTTGTAGATGATTCTCCTGGAATTTGAGTGAGCCCAAAAGTAAGGCATTATTTTGTGAAAAAGTCCATCCAAGAATCGTTGCATTCTTCACTCTTCTTTTCTGAAACAGATAATGAGATTTCAGGGAGGGGATTGAGGACGTATGTGTTTCCTTTGGTAAGGAGTTTTTTGGTCAGATATGGAAATTCCAAAGAGAATTGAAATGGAGGAGGAACAAGACAAGGTTCCGGGGACCTTGATTCTGAGGCTTATTTCTGAGGCCTTTCGATTGATAGAAATGCCCAGCATGCACAAGCAGCATATTTTGGGAGATTGTTTTCTATGCCTCAGCACTCATGAGATCTCTAATTTTTCACACCATACTCTTATTCTCTAGGCTTGATTTGATCATTCTATTATACTAGTAGCTTTTAGTAGCACCAGCTACCTAAGGTCTATTGGGATTAGACTGGGTTAATATCAGAATGATTGGTGTTTATATTCCTAAATTCACTTCAACTCACATGAACTGTGAGATTTCAGTAATATGTGAGAAAAAAAAGTTTTACATGAAAGAGTTCCATAGTCAAGTAAGTTTCACAAATGTTGGATAAAGCAGTATTAAGCAGGTATCTTTGCCACAGCTCTTCTAAGAAGCTATTTGGTAATAATGAAATTGTCCTTGAATTGACAGTGGAGTAGATGCAGCATTTTCTGCAAATTTGACTGAAGACTCCTTCCCTTTTGTGGCACCAGTGTGTTTCGGGATGCACTTTGAGAAATACTGGACCACACGTTAGAAATCAGAGAACCTCAGGAGAGAAGGAGTTGAGGTGGAATTAATGAAAGTCCTAAGCAATGGGTGTGGTTACTCTTCAGGGATGGCTCAAAGGAAATGTACTCAAAGATGCGTGGAAGGAAGGCCTATATACCCATGGCCAGTTCTCTGGTCTTTAGTGTTCATGTTGAGCCAAGCTGACTGTGTTTTGCCAGAAGGAAAAAATATTTCTCTCCCCTTAAATACATGTGTGCTATCTGGAAGCCCTGGGTCTGCAAGGGCATGTCAATTTCCTCTTTTTTTTTTTTTTTTTGGCAGAGTCTCACTCTGTCACCCAGGTTAGAGGGCAGTGGCATGATCTGGACTCACTGCCTCCTCAGCCTCCTGGGTTCAAGTGATTCTTCTGCCTCAGCCTCCTGAGTAGCTGGGGTTACAGGCATGTGCCACTGCACCCAGCTAATTTTTGTATTTTTAGTAGAGATGGGGTTTCACCATCTTGGCCAGGCTGGGCTCGAACTCCTGACCTTGTGATCCACCCCCCTTGGCCTCCCAAAGTGCTGAGATTGCAGGTGTGAGCTACCGTGCCTGACCGATTTCCTCATATTTTATCAAAGATGCTGTGGCTCTCTCCAAACCTACAAAAAAGTTCCATGGTTAGTTCTTCTGAGGATGAAAACATGATTTGGAAGAGACACCATTAGAAAAGGCTCAAAGGGGAACAGGAATTGAGCTAACTCTAAAGAACAAACAGGAATTTTCAGGGCCTGGGCTCCCATGGATAGCAACACTATGACCCAAAACATGTCATCGGGAGTGAGTGTGGCTTTACACAGAATAGGTGGAGGGCAGATTTGTTTCTTGTTGCTGAGGTAATAAATTATCACACAGTTGGTGACTTAAGAAAACATGAGTTTATTCTCACACGGTTCTGGAGGCTGGAAGTCTGAAGTCAGTGACACTGGAGTGAAATTAAGGTGTCTGAAGACTCTTGAGGACAATCTGTCCTTTTCCTCCTCCAGCTTCTCTTGCTTCTGGAATTCCTTGGCCTCTGGTGACATTACACACATCTCTACCTCCATTGTCACAGTGTCCTCTCCCCTTCTTTCTCTGTCTAGTCCTCCTCTGTCTCCCTCTCACAGTGGCACAGGTTGTAACCAGCAAAAGGGCCTGGCTGCTCACTGCTTGTAGAAAGAGGCCAAAATAATAACAAGCTGATTAAAAGTAAGCAAGACTTTATTATCTGTGCCAGCAAGGGGAAGAGCAGAAATTACAGCAATTCTGCTGTAATTTGTGGAGGGAACACAGGGTTTTTTAAAGAAAGGGTTTGGAATGCGGAAGAGGCAGGGGTGGTAGGTTGGGGGTTGGGGAGAGGGGGAGCTAGGAGGTCCCAGGAGGGGTTACTTACTCCAATGACTCATCTTGAATTGTTGTTTCATTTGGGGAAGAGGCTGACCCCATCGTGGATCCTGCCAGGTTACAAACTAATCACAGTCAATCTTATAGTCAGTCTTCAGCTGGGAATGGGTTCCAGCCTTGAAGTAATCTTTTGCTGGGGACAGATTTTCAGAGTTGTCTAGTCCCCTGAAACTTTTAAGGAATTATATGACCGGATAAGTGAGCACGGCGTGTGCTTAACAAGCATCTAGATAAATAAATGTGCATAAGGCATGGGGGCATGAAGTGGGAAAGGAAAGAGAAAGAAAATATTTCAAGGCTGTAAAGTTTATCTCAGAGCTACATCTTGAAACTGGGGAGGGGAAAGAGGAAGAGGGAAAGGATAAAACATTTTAAAATGAGGTTTGAGGCTAAACTGCTAAGCAGCTCAGTTACAAGGTGACTGCATGAGGGCGAACTGTCACAATCCAGGATAATCTTCTGGACTCAAGATCTGTAACTTAATAACATCATCAAGATACTAAGTAGCATTTGAAGAGTCCAGAGATGAGGGCCTGATGTTTTGGTGGGGGGCGGGGAGGTCAATATTCAGTTTAATACAGAGGGTGTATTTGGGGACACCTACACAGATAATGGTTAGAATGAGACCAAGGACATTTTCTAGTAGACCTGAATTCTTCATAAGAATTGGAGGTTTTTGGGCTGATTATTATTTAATTGAGAAAGACAGAAAGTTTATCTATAAATTGTGATTACAGGCATACATATTGATATATATCCTTATTATAGTAAATGATATTGATTATATCATATATCATGATTTTAATATATTTT